GTTTTAAAAGAGTTTTTATAAAACTCTAACACAAATTACCTATTTATTTATTTATTGAAATCTAATTAAATAAGAATTATTAATTTAAAAAAAATATTTAATAATTGACATAAAGAGTTTTTAAAAGAGTTTCTATAAAATTATAACACATATTACCTATTTATCTATTTATTATAAATAAATAATAATTAATAAAATAAAATATAATTAAAAAAATAAAATATTTTTTATAAAATTTACCACAAATTGGCTGTTTTATTTTCTATAAATTTTTATCACATTATCTACTAAAATATTCAATACGTGCATCGCACGTGCCATTTCTTAGTATCTATATATATATATATATATATATATATATTCTCCAAAACAAAGTTTGATTTTATATTCAAAACACATAAATAATAAATATTGCTGCTTGAGAGAGAAAGAGGAAAGGGTCAGTTTCTATTGCCTGTAGTCATCATTTTTTTTCTTTTAAAACTTAAACAACTGTTGATGTTTTATTGGGCCACCCCATCATAAGAAGGAGGTTCTTTCTTATGCGGCCTAAGTCAAGCATTGTTCGTAGAGTAAGAACGTAATGGAGATACATGACGGGGACGGATTTTAGCTCGTTGAATATTTATTTATTTTAGCTCGGTTTTCCTTTATTATGATTATTGGAATAAAGTTGGTGTTTTGTAAAACTTTGTTTACTTGATTCAGTGGTCAAAAATGTTTTATTATTTAGAGGGAATTTCACCTTTATTCATTATTTTTTATATGTTTGTTAGACTCTCATGTTTAATAAATTGAATAATGAGATTTATCGTATTTATATTTATGGTGGATATATGTTAAGAATTGGTAGAAGTTATACTTTAAATTTTATATGTAGAACAAGTGATTCTTGTGTTAAAATATGGGGTGTGACATTATGGGTGACTTGGACATTGAGATAAACGTCGCCATTCCGGATAAGGATGATTTTCGCATCAACAGCTACTACTAATCTCATTAGTATGGCCTATATTAAATAATCTCATTAGTAAGGCCTATATTAAATCCCTTGGATCAGTGTTCAACGCACACAAGTCCATGCTAGCTCCAATGTTTTTCCTAATCCGTCCCGACACGCTGCTTTAAGCAATTGAAATTGGAAAAATTGAACGTGGAGTGCTTAATAATTTTATACATGAACGTAAAAATTCTAATATAATAAAACAAAAGATATTTTTTCCCTAAGTTAAACAAAAGGTAAGTCTTGGATACATTTTTTAAGAAGATAACTCAAAAGCATATATAGCATAATGCATTTTCTGTTTTTCACAGCCCAAACTTAATTTCCTAAAAAAAACTACAACACAAAACAATCAAAATGCGCAATTTAAAACAAATTAGAAGAATATTATTTTAAAGACAAAATTAAAGTATACACATACCCAATTATAATTTATAGCAGGAAATTAATGACATTTAAACATTTTAAGAACAAAATATTTAAAAAATGAGAAAATATATGTATGCATTCAATTGTGGAAAATGCATGTATAATAAATTCATTATACCCGAGAATTAGAATAAAAAGAAAGGAGAAGTTAGAATACAAAATTCAAGCATAAAAGCAAAAAATTACAATGAAAAATAATAAATAAATAACCCTTGAATTTGAAAGGCAACAAATTCAAAATTATAGTCTAGAGTTTCAAAGACGGTGAAGACGGTATGTGGTGTGAAGATGGCTATAATTTTTTTTTTTTAAATCAAAATATTTATTTATTTATTAGAGGAAGATGTACAGTTCAAGAATATAATTTAATTTTATTATTTTTTATTTATTTATTAGAGGAAGATACCATTCATGAATATAATTATAATTTAAATTTATTATTATTTATTTATTTATTTATTAGAGTAAGGGGTTATTATTTTTTTTTTTATTAGAAGAAGATGTACCATTCACAATAACATTAATATGAATATAAATTAGAGTTTAATTAAAGTTTGCATGTGTGTGTGTGTGTGTGTGTATATATATATTCAACAAAAAAACATGGGTTGCATAGAAATTTATATATATAGTATGGGTTGCATAGAAATTTATATATATAGTATATACTTTTGAAAACTGATACAATTAATTTTATAAGAGTCTTCAAGAGGCATGGGTCTTTTACGGGAGATAAATGAGATTCAGTAATTATAGATACAACAGTTTACCAAATTTATTTGTTTTTTTTTTTTATCACTCTATGTTATAATCTTACTATATATATATATATATCGTGAATATGCATTTTAACAAAAATCCTAAAATAATAAAATAATTATTAACAAAAATAAATATCTATTAAAAAGTGATAAATAAAAGTTGAGTCTTACTATTTGCCCAACAAATAAAAACCTATTACTTTATTTCAAGATTAGCTATTTGAAAAGTTGTAATCTCCTTTCTATGTCTCATCTTAATCTAATATATTTTTTTGTCTATTAAAGTTTTAATCACCTATATATCAATTATATATTTGTTTTATATATATATCACATTGCATCTCTGCACTTTTGAGATACTTCAAGATTGCATCTCCTATATATAATTAGATTGTGAATCCCTTCGTTATATATAAAAGATTGTGTCTTTGATCATTAATATCCATCTATTACTTTGATAGACATTTGTTAGTTGTTATAATGATTAAAAGCTAATGATCTATCCAACACCCATAAAAATAATAATAATAATAATAAAAAAGAAGAGAAATTTAAAATAAATAAATAAAAAATTGCAAAGCATTGAAAATTTATAAAACATTACAGTTTTTGTTTTAGATTTTGTACAAATCAAATTATTATATTTGAGTACCATGAAACTTACTGTGAAAACAAAAAATATATGATAATGCTATAAAAAACTAAAAAAATAAGAAAATGGAGTATATAAAACTGAAAAGATAAGTAAAGAGAAACGGTCATACTTATGGAAACAAACAAAATTTTAAAATAATCATTTTTTTTTTTTTGGAATTAATGTCCATGTGCTATATGAATTATAATTGGCTATATAGAAATTTAAATATATAGTATGTACGTAAACAAATACAATTAACTGTTTACCAAATATATAGTATATAGTATATCAAATTTTTTTTCTATCACTTTATGTTATAATCTTATATATCGTGAATACTCATTTTAACAAAAAATTTAATAAAATAATAATTAACTAAAATAAATTGCTACTAGAAAGAGATAATAAAATTTTAGTATGTTAACTACAAATAAGTGGAGGGCCCGATTTCCTTATTTGTTGCATAAATAACCACTTAAAAAAGTAGGTCTAACAATTCACTGCAAATATTCTGTGCACGAATCATTGTTCAAAATTTTAAACACATTTTCAATTTGAAAATTGATTCTTGCATTGAATAATTGCATTGAATTATTAGATCTAAGGAAATAGAGCCTTCAACTTACTTGTATTTAGTATAAATAATCAATTAAAAATTATTTAGTTAAGCAATTCAGTGCAAGTATTTTTTCACTAATTAAATAGGCATGTATATGTTTATATGTGGGACATGCTATATTATTATTATTATTTTGTTTTAATGATCTTTTTTTTGTGTGTGTTTTTATGTTACGAAATTTCTTACATTTTTATAACAGTATAGAAGATATAGATAAAGAGAGATATAGATTATGAATCAAATAAATAATATATTTTTCTTTTAGTATGGTATAATTTTTTAATTATTTTATATAAAATTTATTGAAGTGAGTATAAATGGGGGGAAAGAGAGGATAAAAGCTAATAATTAAAGGGAAGACGGAAAGTTGTTTTAATTCCCACGAAAGTATGTGTGTGTGTGAGAGAGAGAGGGACTTAAAAGTCTAATTTTAAAGTTAATTTTTCAATTTGATTGGTAAAATAATTACATTGGCATTAAAAACTATTATTAGGTCCAACATACCCTTCAAACTCTTATTTTAAAATACCAAAATATCATCCCTAAATCAAATAATTCTTACATTCATGAAATTTAGAAAAACAAGATTTTTTTGTTGACTTTTAACTTGACATTTTTGCATATGATGTGTATATTGCCAAAATAAATAAAATAAAAAAACAACCTAATAATATTATAAATTTTGTGCAAAAAATCTTTAACATATCTTCTAATCTATATTATGTTCAAACCTAATAATGTCAATTTAGAAATATACAAATAATTTAGTCATTATATATAGAATTTTTTTTTTAAGGTAAGTGGAAATTCATCACATATATATGTGTATATAATATTATATGCACATAACTTTCACCATATCTTTTAATTCATACCATATAAAGGGTACAATAATATAAAGAAATAAAAATACAAGTAATAAGAAATAAAAATCAAGTAATAATTTTAGTGGGCTTTACTAAGAGAAGGAAATAATAAATTAAGAAAATCTAAAAATTTAAGGAAATAATAAGTTTAGTAGCCTTAAAACGGAGTAATATTAGGAAATAAAAATTTTAATAGGTTGAATAATATATGGAATTACTGATTTTAGGAGCCGGCCCAGCGTCGGTGGCTATCACTATGTAGGGTTCTCTCATTTTACTTGTTAGGAATTAAAATAATTTTAAAATTTTTATAAACAATTGAAAATCTATTAATTAATCATAAGAGAGTTATATTGCAAGGCAAATGTACAACAGTAATTCGCTTAAGAAAAATTGAAAATCCAAAAGAGAATAATTTCCTTTAAGCCATTTATTTCTCCATCAATCATTTCTTTTCTCACAAACCAATTAATTTATATTTCACCAATACTCCATTTCTTCAAAACTCATTCAACATTGACCTCTCATTACACATTTTGAGGTATAAGGTCAATTTCAAAATATAAATTTCAAAATTTTCTACAACATTCATGAATTAAATTAATTAAATTAGAAGTAGACAAAATAAATGAAAATAAGGTGAATAAACTACATCAACAAAGTAGCTATTGTTGGATCTTCATTATCAAGCTAACATGTTGAATGGTTGTGCTTTCATCCAGCCTTCGCTATCGATGAAGTTCATGCTAGTTAACGTCGACAATGTCTTTTGATCCAGCTTCATTTCCCATGAAACACGGCCTGTATTATTTGATCCCGATCCTTTGCAGCCATACTCAGCAAACATTATTTGATTCCTGATTGTATAAACAATTTAGTACAACCAAAATATTATAACACAAAATGAGTACATTTATACAACTTTCGCTTTTCAATACAATAATAAACATCTAAGAACCTACATTATCACTCAAAAACTCACAAAATTATATGATTTCAAATTGAGAAATGACGAGTCTAGAGGTCTTACTCTCTACCACCAGAATTCCAAATGTCCCATCCCTCAGGAGCAACAATGTCTGAGAAGGTGGAATTGTAAAATACAACCCGGGCATAATCTCTCCATGGTCTTCCCAGATAGGTTGGTACAGTCCCAAACACATTGCAATCCTTGAATATAAAACCATTAGGTTCATCCTTAGTAGCTCTTCCCTGTGCTGTGATAACGCCTATGCCGCCGTTTTTAGATTTAGAAATTACTGAGAGGGAAGATCTCTACAAACAAAGAAATAAATCAATTAAATTGTCACTTTTGATAACTTCATAAGCATATATTTATGGCCCAAATCACCAAATTGATCATAATATATTCATTTATATATATACCTCATATATGGATTGGCCTGCACCAAATATGAAATCAACGGATCCTTCAATAGTGCACAACTTGAAGTAGTGTCGCCCTTGATGATCCCACAAAGTGTCCTGAAACCCCAAGAATCCACACCTATAGAAGGCGGATTTATCGCCCAATATCCAAGCCGCCACTGCCACAGTCACTTGATTATTGCTTGTTGGTGGATTGTTGTAAGAATTCTGTTGAGATCAGAGAGAACTAAATGATTTACCGTACATATATAAATATATATATATACACACACACACACACTAGAAATGATTTCAATTTTTTCTTACCCTAAAAGTTATGCTCTTGGCAACAATATTATCAGCTTCAGAGGTGAAAGTAGCACTTGTGGTAATTGAGCCATGAGCATCCCAAACAACACTAGTTTTTCTTTTCCCTTCTCCTTTAAGATATATGAATGGCTTGTCTTGAGGAATTGTCACTTGTTCTCTGCATGGACACAAAAACAATATGTTTTGTAAAACAGGCCAATAACAACTGGGATGAAGTCGACCACAAACAAGTTATTACAAAAATGTTAAAACAAAAACTTGACAAGATTCAATGGCATTTTTGGGAGTTTGCTGATGCAAAATCAGCGTCAGATGGTGAGATTTCTTCTTCTCCTCTCTCTTCCATGTAATCTTCTTCCATGCTTGTTGAGCATTCCAAAGTCAATTTAATTAGCTAGATTGATAACACACTAAATTAGAGTTTTATTTTAATATTTTATTAGAGTTTTATTTTAATATTTGATTAATAGAAACATGACATTATAATGATTAGCATGAGCAGAATAATCACTATTAACTTAGTTCCAAAGAATGAACTTGTGTCGAGGGATGGAGATTGGGTTCCATACGAGGTATGATTAACATATTAACATAAAGAAGATCATATACATATGTGCATACATGTGTGTATATATATATATTATAATACCTGTACTCGGCGGCTTTGATGTAAATACAAATCCATTCGCTATTGTTTGAGGGAATGGAGTCGATAGCAGATTGGATGGTTCTGAAATTGCCATGGCCTGATGGATCAACGTATATGGTAGGAAGACGATTGATGAAACCTAATTTCTTGATGAAGCCGAATTTTGCTTGGCCGAAGCCGAAAGAGAGAATAATGCATGCACAAAAAATGTGATGCAACAGAGTGAAAGCCATGGGAAGCAAACCTAAAAAGTCTTGTTTGGGACGACAAGAAAAAATGCTAGCTAGTGAAGTTATATATGGTGTTCATGGAGGGAAAGTCAAAGGACAGGAATGGAATACTCCAATTATAATAAGATGACAGATTCTAAATATTTTAATTTATAGTATGTTTGCTAATTAGCTGATCGATTTTATATTTTAACAGTGGAAGGTAAAAAAAAAAATTTTGATTACCTTAATTTTGAAGATCTGTTATATAATAATTTAAAAGGTAATTTTTTTTTTTTTTCCATTTTTAAAGCTTGATTCTATTCTTCTAAAAATTATATTTCTACTATTGGAAGATTACAGTTTAAGTCTCTCGTCTCACTTCTCTCTCTCATTTGCATAAACAATGGAAGGTTACTTTTCCCACCAAAAATAAATAAATAAGATTTCATAACATTAAAGGGTATTTAGCCAATTAATCATAAATTTAGGGAATGTGCTTAAAAACAAAAATTAAAGCCAATTAATCATAAATTTAGGGAATGTGCTTAAAAACAAAAATTCTAGTGCAGAAATTTAAAAGCAGATCAAAATATTGTAGAGCGAAATAAAACCAAAGGTATTGTAGCATTGGACGAGACGAGGATAGTTTAAGACAAGGAAGTTTGAATATGATTTTAATTTATTAATTATACCTGGTTTAAATATGATTTTATTTGTTTTTCAAATTTTTTTTTTTTTTTTTTTTTTTTTTTGAAATTTTTCTTTCTAAAATAATCACTTAAAGGGACATCGGTTAAAAACTCTACTTGGGATAATTGAGGGGGGGTTTTATCAAAAAATATTATGAGAGTTCTTTTATGACAAGAGGCATAAGCTCTTTTTGTTTAATTATATAATTAAAATGAATTTTTTAAAAAATATATAAAAGGTCAAAATGAATCTTTTAATTATTAGTTAAACAAAGAGCTAACGTCATAACATTATTCGTTCTTGAATATATATATACAGATAGTTAACTAACTAAAGGAGATTGATTACATTGTGGATGTGCTGATTCCTTTGTAGAATCAAGAATAGCATCTTTTACATACATAGATTCCCTCCTCGACATGGCCTTTGAACCTATTGATTTAACTCTCTAATCAGCTTCAATTGACAGACTATATATGCATTAAAGGGATAAGATTTGGAGGATTCAGTGGAAAAACCGTCATCAACTGCATATCTAATGAACAGTATTCAAATTTTTTTAAAAAACTCTAAAATGCCCTTTTTTTTTAACTAGTCATTATATTTTTAAAATTTACAACACATTTTTACAAAATATATTTTAATATTTTTACTTTCAAATTTTTTTATAATAAATAAATATTACCAAACATGCTTCTTATTACCATTGAAAATAATATACCACAAAACAATTGTTTTTTTTTTTTTAATTAAAAGAAAATTGCAAAAACAGTTAAAATATGTACCAAATAAACCTAACCCTCTACCATTTAAAGCTCTGGGCATTTGCCCTCTCTCTCACAATACATAAGTTTTTGAATCACAGAACAAGTGTCTGACTGTTACAATGGTATCAAATTCAAATTCAGTTCTTAATTTAGTGTCATGTCAAGAGTCCACCCAAGTAGAGTCCGGATCTGGTCATTAGGTGGGGAAGAAGGGTTGTCCAACTATGACAAAGGTTTTACAAGTTTTGTGGGGTAGGATGGTTAGAGGGCCTTGTTCTACATAGACCGAATTAGGATAATTTGGATGAGTAAGGACTTTGGCATATATAAGCTTAAATAAATTATTATCTAACAACTTAAACTTTTTTGGTGAGATGGCAAATGCACTGCGAGTTACAAACAGCTTGCCAAAATAATTTCTAGCAGTGGATCCTCATGTAATTTAATGTTATTCATATTATTTATTTAATTTTTTTCAAGGACAAAGAGTGACAAATTTACAATAAAAATGCTATATTGGATTGTATAGAATTGTTAAATTTTTTCGAATTCCAATTTAAGAGATATTCCTATTTTCATAGACTACTAGTACATATGTATAAGTTACATAACTCAATAGTCACTCTCCTTTTGTTATTGAAAAAAAAAAAAAAACAAAAGCTGATATTAGCGCGCTCCACGCTCCTCCTCTCTTTGTTTTTTTAAACTAAAAATAATAATAAAACAAAATAAAAACCCAACCAACCCCATGCAATGTTTGGTTATTACAATTTTCACTCCCATAATTACCCTTTACTATTTGAATAATCTCTCCCACATGTTATTTCCTTCTACAACTTATACACATCAAATAATTTGTGTTTGTATATTCATATGTTATTTTTTGGAGGATTCTCAAGCACGTCACACCCAACAAATATTGAACACAATTTATTTATTTTTATTCAATTTCTCCAAAATTAGTATAATTATCATGTTCTTTTCTTCTGTGAATGAGGTGAATACCACTGGCTCTCGCTACTCTAAATTAAAATTTTGTATTTTTTGTTACATGGGTCATATCAGAAAGGGAAAGTCAAAAACTCATATAATATAAAAAATATTGGGTAAGAACTAAGAAGTATTAGGAGAAATTTGTGACACGAGAAGAAAATTAGAACTAGTTAAATCTTCCTAATTAATCTATGTTGTAACCCCTCATTCAACAAAATTTAAGAGACAGAGAGATGATTAAATATCTCTCTCTATATATATATATATAAAAGGAGATGAGATGCATCATTGCATGAATGTTATGTTATTGTTTTTTTTGGGGTAAGTATGACTGTTATGTTGTTTGCAGAGGGAGAGAGAAAACGCATTCCCAAAAGAAATGAGGAGTGTTATTAAATTATTTATTTCTTATTGGGAAATGATTCTTACAGGGAATTGTTAGACCTACTCAATAAGAAAGTGAAGCCTCTACTTAATTGTATTTGGTATAAATAACCAATTAAAAATTATTCGATTAGATAATTCTGCAAGTGTTTGGTGTATATATATGTATATATAATTCATATTCTACTATAAAATCTATCACTTACCAAACTATCGTATCTCTCTAATCCTCTCCATAATTATATTTTAATTAAAACTCAATTCTATAATTTTACTTCAATTAAAATTTACAATTATAAAAATTCATATACATAGTATATTATGTATATCTATGTAAAGAAAGCATTCACAATCCATAAGAGCATCCGCAGCGGGCAGAAAGGCCCAGTTTGGTTCGCAGCAGGCTAGCGGAAATAGAATGGGCCCACAATGACTAGCGGGCCGGCTCGCCCAAAAGCACGAACCCGAGCCTGATCCCAGATTTTTTTTTTTTTTTTTTTTTTTGCCAAAACGAACGGCTTTTTTTAAAAAAAAAATATTGGTAGCCAACAGTCCTGACCAGTGCCTTAACAGAAGAGGTTTTTGGAAAAAACCCAAGTGTGGATTATTTTGAGTTCGTTTTTTTAAAATAAAATAAAATAAAATTCATAAAGGCTTCTTGATATGAAAGTTATTTTTGTTAAATTTTAATATTTTTTTACGACAACCAAATACCAGAAAACAAAAAAATATTTTCTGAAAAATATTTTACATCTAAACAAACGGAGCCTAAATAAAAAATATATTGCTTATGTACTGTATGTCCAAAAAATATATTAAAAAACCTATTTGTTTTCCCTTAAAATTTGATTTTTTAAAACTTTTTTTGCTTTATTATTTTAAATTATGCCACAACCTGCGCTTAGAGTGCCTTAACGGCTTTAATTTTTTTAATAATTAAAAAAAAAAAATAGTTTAAAAAGTTCAATTTTTTTGAAAGAAATAACTTTAAAAATTCATTTATTTTCTATAATACCCCAACTTCTACCACCATTTACCTCACATCTAACTCATCTCGATTCTCTACCATTCAAGCTACTTCATCTTCTATTTTCTCAATCTAAACTATAATTTCTAAAGTCAATCCGATTTCATAGATCCTCGACATCTATATTACTACAATACCCAATTCAACTCATCAAACGAAGAGTTTTCGCCATTTGCCGAAAATAATATCGATTTGTCTTCCCAGTCAGAAATACATTCTAATTATTATGGAAGAGAATTACAATTTCCTTCTTATCAACCATCCCAACCTTCTCATCAATATTGTGGTACTGGTGTACCACAATCAAATAACTCACAACCTTCCACACAACAACTGATTATCTGAAATTCAAATTGGTCCACGGCCGAAAATGAGGCTTTATGTTGGGCATGGATGTCCATTACCTCCAATGTGATTATAGGGGCAAACCAAAGTAAGAAGAAGTTATTGGAGCGAATCCTCAAAAGTTATGTACAATATCTTGGTGTTCCATCTTCACGAAATCCAGGAGATTTAATGAATCATTGGTCCACCATCCAACAGAAAATTAGCAAATTTTCTGGGTGCATGACTGACATCGAAATGAATCATCCCAGCGACTTCAGCATTGATGATATGTTGACTTCTTTATTGTTTTAAATATAACTCGCAAATATTTTAAACATTTAGCTTTTAATTTATTGTTAATTTTTTCGTGTAGATAACAGCAGCTAAAGAGTTATTTCTTAGTCAAACATGCAGTAAATTTAAATTAGAAAGTTGCTGGCATATCTTGGAGCATAACAAAAAAATGGCATTCACGTTGTGCTGAACAAGGAGCAAAAAAGAAAAAATAGCCGAAGAAGATGAGTGGATTTGACTTTGACGTTAATGAATCTGTTGGGCACTCATTACCATCTACTCCATCAAGTCATGCAGCCACGATAGATAGAGCTTCGACTGAAGAATCACCACACATGAACAAAGATGATTCACCTGATGTGGAAGAATATCAACAACTACAACGGCCAGCAGGAAGAAAAGTGGCGAAGCAGCACCGTGGAACAAATAATTCTGTATTTGAATTACAAAATTCATTCATTAGAAATTTTAATGATCTCAATTGCCGGTATGAAACTCGTCAGGATAAATTTAAGGATAAGTGGCACGAAAGGTAAGAAAATCGGAGAAAGAGAAGACAAGGCAGCTGGAGATTCAAGAGAAATAATTGGCCAGACAGATGGAAATTGAAGAGAAAAAAATAGCTGAAGAGAAGGATATCATTTAAACATATCCAGATTCGGCACCAACAAAAGCCGGGAAAGCCTGGATTATTGTACGACAACGTGAGATATTGGAATGTATGCATTCACGGTCTGCCTCAAGGTTCCCATAGGATTTTGTAATCTTCAGCTTATTTATTTTCTTAATCCAATTCAGGATATTGTATTGTTTAAGTTATTTTTAAATGTTTTGTTTAATTTATTTCTTTATTTTTTTAATCCATAATGGATAATGTATTGTTTAAAGTTATAATTTCAATCCTAACCTTTTTAATAATTTGCAAAGATATTGTTTGACTGAAAAATATTGCCATTGAGAAACAATTTCATCATTTTTAATAACATCTTAAAAAGCAAAAAAAATTGTAACATAAATCAAACGTCTCCATTACCATAGCGGTTCTACAAATTTTCCATCAAATCATTCCTCAGCCGCGTATTTGTCTCTCTATTGTGAATCTGAAGTTGGCGAAAGAAGATGCTAGTCGCTAAAACTGATGGGCATTGACTTAAAATGGGAATCGGGATTGCCTCCTCCGGTGGTGGAGTCCATCTTCCAACATTTGTGTGACGCTCATTTTCAGTGATTCGATGCATGTTTTCATTATGAGACGCAAGTCATCTTTCTCCCAGTAACGCACTGGTCCTTGCGTTATTGCTTAGTTGATCTGCAATACCCCAAAAGCTTGTTTCACATCTTTCATGCATGCTTCTTGTCTTTGAGCAAATGAATTTTCTTTTCCAGTGGTTGAGTATGGGATGGTCTGTATTAAAGTTGTCCACTTAGGGTATACACCATCAAATAGGTAATTCCCCATTATATAATGATGCCCATTCACCACATAATTAACCAAAGGCAATTGGCCATTGACGATACTGTTGAATACTAGGGAATGATCCAACACATTTATATCATTGTGTGAACCCAACATTCTAAAGAATGCATGCCACATCCACAAATCTTGTGAGGCAACTGCTTCCAATATGAGAATATGCTTATTAGAGCGTTCCATGTGCGTGCGATACCACTCCACTAGGCAATTCGATAGAACCAAGCATACACGGGAATCGTCCCTGCTCCCCTTCTTGAAGTAATCGTGCTATATCGGCTTCGTTGGGTAGGCGCATTTACTCCTCTTCATACACAACAACAATAGCATTACAAAATGCCTTCAAGCATTTAATGGCAGTGCTCTCACCGATTTTAATATAGCCCCCTTATGAATATTTGGCAAAGAATACCCCTCGACTATTCCAAGGGGGTGTTTTTAACTAATGTCCATTTAAGTGATTTTCTGAAGCAATTTTTAGGATGAAATTACTCCTTAACAGATTATTCTCCAAAAAATGTTTAAAAATAAAAAAAGAATAAGAAAATGTTTAATTAGTTTGATGTCATTTTCTCATTTTCTCAATAATCTTTCACTTTTGAGGTTTTAAATTTGTTTTTCCTTTTCTTTACTTATTTGTACTTTCCCTCACTATAATGACACACCAAAGAAAGGCAAAACAATTTTAAGCAACCCCCAAAATCAAGATTTGAATTGATAAGCTATATCGCAAAATCGATACTCAAGCCCAGAAGAAAGTTATTAGTGTCCTCACTAAATATAAATGGACATAAGCAACAACCAAAATTCAAACATTAGCGTAAGATCCATAACAATTACAATCACCAAGGATCAGTTTGGTGCAATGGAAAAGGAAGGAAAGGGAAGGTGATGGGGATGGGGATGGGGGGGGGGGGGGGGTGGGGGGGATAAATAATTTATGTTTGGCTCAAATGGTTGGAAGGAAAGGGAATGTTTTGGAGGGCTCAAATGGTTGGAAGGAAAGGGAAGGTTTTGGAGGGTTAACACAAGGTTTCAACAGTAGATTTCTTAACCTCCCAAAAAATAAGAGGAAACGGAAGGAAAGGGAAGGAGAGGCTTGGTGTGTGATTTCTGATGCCAAATTTGCCCTTGATTACACGTGAATTTAGTTTGCAAAATAAGAATTACAGACCTTCATTAATTGATTTAGAAAAAAATAAAAATAAAACAAAACCCATACGTACAAGTTAGCAGTTGCAGAGAGAGAGGGGGGCAAGCTTGAGAGTTTAGAGAAAGAAGGACAGCAGCTGAAGCTTGCGAATGGCGAACCTGAATTGGAACAGCGGGCGATGGAAACTAAAAGATCTATATGGGTTTTGATTTTTTGAACAATCTGAAATGATGGCGATATGGGTTTTGAACTTTTGATTCTTGCAGACAAATATATAAACTGAAATATATGGATTTTGAACTTCTGATTTTTGTAGTAGTTTGCAGTTGCAGAGAGAGGGGTCAAGTTCAGAGTTGAGAACAAGAATAGAGATGGAGGCTGAAATGATTTGCCCTAAAATAATTTTTCCTTTTCTGGTGGCCGATCCATGGGCCATTATATAGGAGACAAATATATATATATATATATATATATATATATATATATATATATTTTAAAATATAAAAGGGCATAATAGTAAATTTATTAAAATTATTCTCTTTCCTTTCCTTTCATTTCTTTTTCTAAACATGATTATTATCCTTCCCTTTCTTTTCCATTCATTAATTAACCAAACATAATAGGAGATTAAAATTATCCTATCCTTCCCTTCCCTTCCCTTCCCTTTCCCTCATAACTAATGTTATTCTCTCCCTTCAAACCCACCGTACCAAACATACCCCAAAAGAGAGGTATGCACCCCATTTGAATATACATGATCATTTGAATATTGAATTTGGAAGATGTCAGATATGTCACACTCTCTGCAACATCCATTTACTTTCATTGGATCCATAAATGCAATAATAAAAATTTGAATTGATAAGTCTCTTTGAATATAATAATAATAAATTGTCTGAAGAATAATATATTAATGGGTAATTTTGTTCGAAAAATTGTTTCAAAAAATTACTTAAATGGATATAAGTTAAAAACACCCCCTTGGAAAAGTCCAGGGGGATTTTTTGCCAAAGTAATAGTCGAGGTTTTTGCAAAACCTTTATTTATTTTTAAGTAGTAAGAATGACAAATTAGAGAAATTTCTTACTTTCATAGGAGAATGTATGGATGTGTGGGTGTATTTTTTATTAATGAAAAAATAAAAATAAAAATATCCGTACATAAAAATCACTACCAAATAAAAATCTATTTTTCCAACTAGTAACAATTTCCATTCCCAAAATAAAAAGTAGTAGTGCTAATAGAACACCAAAATGCTAAATTCAAACAAATTTCTGACTAAGGTTCTCTTTGACTTCAATTCAATATTAATTAAGAATAAATTAAATAAATATTCAATTAAATACAAATTTCTGAATAAGGTTCTCTTTGATTTCAATTCAATATTAATTAAGAATAAATTAAACAAATATTCAATTAAATACATTTGATTATAGCTGCAAACTATGCATAAATAGATTGAGATCCGTTCATTTAAAACCCAACTCAAACTTACTGAGCTCGAACTCAATTTTTGACCCCTTTTAATAACCGAACCAATCCCTTGTTAGATTCAGTTCGTGAACCATAAGCATATGTAATCTCACGTGTTTATGAGCTCATAATCAAGGTTTGCATAGACTCGTATAAATTCGTGTTTAACAATCAAGTCTTCCAAATTAGATCGCCGTTAAAGATGTCTAAAAGATAATGATTTTGGTCCTACCCAAAAACTTTCCGGTATTCAACTCATATACTAAGTATACCCATTCACTTGCCCAACCGGATCCGACGTGAGGCAAATCCCCCTAGTAACATTCTCTCCCACCCGAACATGCAATGTCCTCAGGCCACCCTACCTACCCTAGATGGCTCACCCGGACCTTCCAAAACGAAGGTTTGGCATGATACCGGATCAATAAATGAATCTAGCTCTGATACCAACTATAACAGGCTGGGTGTTTCCCTGTCAACCCAAAGGCTTAAGTTATTAAGTGGGACTAATAATTTAATACCCTATATATTATCCATTCTCGGGATCCTAAGTGAGACAAATCCCCCTTGTAATACAAGACAGACACAGATCATCATCAGTTGCAAGTTGCAAATTTATCAAGTTCACGTCACTATTTATAGATCCCTCATCAAGACTACAATTTATGATAAATGCACTCAAGTATTTAAGGAGAGAAGTAAAACAGATCACAAGATCATTAAATCTATCTTGCAGAACAAAACAACTCTATTGTGCTCACATATTGCCACAAGAAACCACTGATCAACTCAAAGTAAGCATGAGTCTAATTGAAAAATAAAGTTTAACCAGAACATAATTCACCCAAAAAATTACCATCCATGAAAACTAATCTCTCCAATTCAGTACTTGACCGCAGCAATGATGTCTAACTGAGAACCAAGCTTCTCCTCAGCAGCCTTCTCGGCCTTGTTCTTCAGTTTTGTCAATTGCTTCTTCCTCTCATACACCGCCTGACCCCTCTCTTTCCTCTTCTCCTCGAGCTCCTGAAGTGAACAGAGTAACATCCCAGTCAGCCAACATTCACAACCAGTTATATTAATTACAGAGCAACTTCCTTTAGCACAATGGTACTTCCAAATTCAGCTGTCTAGTTTTCCACACATACAGCAGTTTTAGAAATTTGGGACTAAATATAATTTTGTCATCTACAACGTAGTTGATGGTCAGGTAGTAATCAACGGCGTCACAAGCATTTTGCTAGCAGTATAATTTCCCAATGTAATTCTAGGCCATTAGTTGGTGATGAAGCCACCAAAAACAGAAACACCGGTGCAGTAGTGCTGAGAAATCTAATAGTCTTGGGGAAGCACATTCAAAGGAACTGAACTAAAATTATCCAATAGGAAAATGATTTTGAAAAAAAAAAATTCATATTCAAAAGTAAGCATGTTTTTGTCCAAAAGATTATTAAAGTACTACTATTCAACAAAAATAGAAAAACAGTCAAAGTACAAAGAACACAATAAAGGAAGTAATTGTCATACTATGAAAACAAACAGAAAATTGTGGTTGAAAGGAAAGAAAATGCGAGTAATTGGTTTCAAAACAAAACATGGCCCAAACTGTTTGAATGAAGGCACAAGAAGCTAAGATCAGATAAAATTTCAAAAAAGAACTAGCGACATCAGTGCAACTAATCATAGGAAATTTCTACTGCAAATTCAAATTTGGAACAAGCAAAAACATAAATAGGTAGCAAAAACTCACCCTGATAGTATCATAGTAGTTCCATCCAACCTCTTTCGAAAGCCTGCCCAACAAGCAGTATTTATGTCCTGCTTGAAGCCTCAGAACCCTTTTTAATTTTTATTTTGAAAAAAAAAAAAAAAAAAAAAGATTAGAAGACTACATATGACAAAACATATATAAAAATAAATAATTACGTTTTTTCAATGTACAACATTCACAAGTCACAGAACTCACTTGAGAGCATCAGGGATGACCATCCTCTTTATCTTGTCATATGGTGGCGGGATCCCCTCGTAAACCTTCAAACGAGCAAGTGCGGCTGCTCCACGCTTAGTCTTGTGAGGAATCATCCTATAAAAAATTACCGAATGAGAGCAAGTCAAGCCCAATCCTCAAACAAGGAGTACTTCTACTGTTCAATTATACAAACAAATCAATACCATATAAACTATATTAAAACCTAAATGAACTAAAATAAATAAATCTATTATATAAGCACAAGGAGTTCCAATTGAATTTAACATTCCCGAAAGAACACAAAACAAATTCAAACTGAAAACCAATCAAAAATCATAATACGATCAAACAAATTCCTTACCAATGAAACAAACATGAGACAAGATACTAAGGTGTACAGAGGGTTCCAAATTCCCATAGTTAAAACACAATCATAAAACAAATAAATCACTTACAAATTAAACAAACCAAAATCCCAATTTTTTATATCTAAGGGACAGCATAATTCCCAGTGCTTTACTGGAAAGACCACATACAGAATGAAAAACTTGGTTTCCGATCGAATAAATTAACTTTGGTCTTTTGGTTACTGCTATTCGTACCAAGACAATAACTGTATAATCAAAATGGCAAAAAAAGTTATTTTAGACCTTCATTTCCTACAGAAATCATGCAATACATTTAAAATGAAACAAAACCAGACCCAAATTTTCTAATCAAAGCAACATAACGTTCGTTCATGATTCTCAGTCTTGCCAGAATCCACTAAGCAAATGCAACAATACCAGAACCACAATATTTTAAACACAAGTAACAACACAAAATTCAAAATTCAAAGGTTGCACCAATCAAGTAATTCAATAACATCACAGATCATACCAATTAACACATGGGTATCCATCTATTACACAGACATTTCTACATAATGTAGATAAATTTACTCAATACATATATATAAAAATACATATAGGAATTAACTAACACAGATGAATATATTTATATATATATATATACACACACACACACATATATATAAGTATAGTCTATACGTACCCACGGATGGTGCGCCAGAGGATCTTGGAAGGGGCTCGGAAGTGGATGGGACCGTGAGAGGGCTTGGTGTTCATGCGCTTGCGGAGGAATCTGAGGTACTTCATCTTCTGCCTGACGAGCCCGCCGGAGAGGCATATCTCCTCGCACCTCACCACCACCACCCTCTGTCCGTTCAGCAGCTCCTTCGCCAGCACCGACGCCAGCCTTCCCAGCATGTGGTGTCGCGCATCCACCACCACCCGACGAGCACAGATCCCCGACCCCGACACCATTTTCACTCTCTCTCTCTCTCTCTCTCTCTCTCTCTACACGCACACTTTCTCTCTTCCGAGGGGTGTAAGTGGGGGAACGGAGGAAGAGAGGCTAGGGTTTGTTTTTGATGTATAGTTTGGGCTTTCGAACAGAAGAGGAGAGTATAGAGTTTGGACTATGGTTGGTTCTAGGCCCATAGAATTGGGCATTGAGAAGAGTTATTTGTCTTGAAAATATAGCCCAATCCAGAATAATTTATGCTCTCTTTTCTTTTCTTTTCTTTTTCCTCTCTTTTTTTCAAAAGGAAAAAACATATTCTAATTAATTGAAATGACCAACTTCGTGGAGAAATTATTAGGCAATCGCAGCAATCCTAACACCACCACCTCACTTCTAGTCCTGGCCAATTACATAAAGTCATGCACATAATCAGCCTTTTTATTTTTTTCTGGTGAGATTACAAGTCCGCATAAAAGGTATTACTAAATGGCTTAATTGGTATAGAACCCAACTCTCCTAACGATGTGTTAATGTTTGAGTCTTCCTCCCCTAATTTTTTTTTTTTTTTTTTTTTAATTGAGTTATTTTGTACCTTAGTGCTATCAATGCTTTAACCTGATTCTCTAATATGTATGGTTTGTTCCCTAATAAAAGTTGAAGCAAAATTTTTGTTGTCAAGTCCAAAAGGAGGAGGAGGAGGAGAACTTGATGTTGGAGACCATGGAAGTTCTTGAAGGATACCCATATATATACAGTTAGGTGTCTATCGGCTGAAGATTTCTGAGTGTACTTGGACAATTAATTGATCAAAGAATCACTTAAAAGGTAAGTTGCGCCAATTTTCTTTCATAGGCAGGCAGATTATAACTTATTAATTTAATGCTCTTTTCCATTCAAGTGTAATAGTCCTCTATGTTTATGATCCCAAAGAACGTCTTAGCAACCATCACTCAAATTCTCAGAAGATTTCTATGGAATCCCTCATTACTGGTCAAAGGTGGTTTTAACCTAATGGTCTTTTCCAACTTAGTAAAATATTCGTGTTGGACATATATTTTTCGAATTATATATCCAACACTTTTAGATAGATATGTAATTAAAAATCATATCAAATTAATTTTTTTTTTTTTATTAACAAGAAACTCACACACCTACCTTACCTGTTTAAGAACACCAATTTGAAAGGTAAAGTAATTTGTTATGGTGTACAATATTAAAATACGCGATGAAAAAAAACAAAATTCTGACTCCATCCAACACACCATTTGGTTTTTGCTCTTTCCAATGATTTGACATGAGCCGGGGAGGGTGTCTAGGCACCACGGTGATGGGGTGATATGGAGCGCAGTGTGGAGATGTAATATTCCATCCTAAGTGTAACACTTCATTTGGAGATGTCATGATGCCATACCAATGGGGACAATGTTTGGCTAACCCTACTTAATTATTCTCGATGTGGTTTGGAAGCATACGACATTTTGCATCTTTTTTTCAGCTGGCCCGTTCTCTCTGGGTTTGGAAGCTCATTTCTCATAGTGTGTTTGGTATGGTTGATTTGGAGAGATAGGGAGAGAAAAAAGAAAAGAAAAAAAAAAGGTGGGAGTGTATTCTGGTGGGTTAAATGGAGAGAATAGGGAGAGATCCTTCCCTATCCTTCATTTGGTTTCTCTCCCAATTTGAGAAGATAGAGAAAGAAAGAATAGTGGAGTAAGTGATTAATTAGTAATATCAAAAATACTCTTCACAAATCAATATACAGAAAAGTTATTTCATTTATGTCCTAATTTTGTTTTCACCCATTATTTTTATTATTTTTTTTTCTTTTTTACTTTTCTTTTTACCCATTGCATTGAACTATAAAAAAGAAAAAAAAAAAAACATTCCAAAATATCATATGTGAGATTTTGAAAATAGATAATGTGGGAAGTAGTTATGAAATGGTAGGACTGTAATTTAGTCATTATCCTTTCTTTTCCTTTTTCTCCTCTATGTTATCCAAACAAGAATAACTATCATTTCTTTTCTTTTCTTTTCTCACATATCTATCCAAACACGAATAAAAATTATTATTATTCTTTCTTTTCTCGCCTAACTAATACTATCAAATTTTTTTTTTATCTCCTATATATCCTAACACACCCATAGAGTCGCCCGCACTCGTTTTGGGAATGGTGGTCTCTCATTTCTTCAAAGGTAAGTTCTGTACATGAAAAAAAAAAAATTTATTTTGTTGGGTGTGGCTGCTTATTGTAGTTTTGGACTATCTGGAAGGCACGTAACAAAAAGTTTTTTTGACAATGAATTTTGAAATCCATTATTGGTTGCTAACTTAGCGGTGAACCGGTTTTGGGAGTTCATGGATGTGCAACAGAAGTGTCGGATTATTATCCACGGACTCATGGAAGGAGTTATCAAATGTAACTTGGATGCTAGCTGCAAATGTACATATGTCACTTGTTATGAAAGAAATAATGCAAAACGTACCCTCAATTTGAAGAGAGAAGCCAAACCCCACCCATGTGCCATCCTTGCACGCATGAAATAAATGGCTAATAAGGCCAACAGAATCGACTGAACCCCAAAACAAATAGCGATGATGAATGAACCATCCCAAACTTAAGAGGACTAATGGTCCTACAAGCGTGTTGACATCTGAGTGCTGCCAAATACCACCAAAGCTAAGGTTTAGTTCTGACAGGTCAACCCATGACATCTAGGTACCATGCTCGTTGACTTCCAAAATCATATACTTTCAAAATTCATATTAATTGAATTCAACAAGTACCACTGCAGATCTTGTCTCCAAAACCTTCTTCCCCCTCAAATATTAGTTCTATCACAGAGAGATTACAAATGGGACTTCCCCAAAAAATTACCAATACTTAGTAATACAGCAATATATATATATATATAACTGCTAAATTTTACAAAAGGTGTAAAAAATTTATAAGACCCACAAAGAGAAGGTACTGAAAAATCCAAGTAGAATCTGCAGAAGAAACATAACACTTAAAAGTTATCTTTGACCTTAATTACATCATATGCTGCTGTTTGCATGGAGAAAACTGAATATCTCTTGAACTGAGCTTGCTATATCTTCGGCCGTGAACCGAGCTTCATTAGGCACCTACACATAAAATAGGTTTTGAACATGAAAAAATATTCATGTATACATACAAGAAGAGATAAATATCATTATTTTTTTATTTTTTCTTAAAGTTCAAACAAACGCACACGCCTGCAGTTATCCTTGGCAGGACTCGAACACTTAGCCTCTCTTTTGAAAAGGAGAGCGCATGTCATTTGGGAAAATGCACATTGATATAAAGATCATCATATTGCTAGATTTGGAAAAATATATATACAGAGAGAGATAAGTTATACCTTGACATTGAAAGAATAGAGAACAGTTTGATCAATTGTGGTTATGTTGGTGTGGAGGATATTAAGCTGCAAATCCTCTAGTGCAGCTATGGTCCTAATGAGCTGGGCAGGCCTTCTCTTTGAAAGGATCTTGATCATGGCATCAAACCCTAAAAGCTTCACTTCGACATTGGCAAAGCACGACTTGGTCTCTGCTGTTTCCTCATGGAGTCCGGTTTCCAAGTCCACAATCTTCAACTGATCATTTTCAAGTGGCATGGAAGGAAAGAATGATGGTAGTTGGGGCTGCTGAATCCCGCCGAGAGAAGAGTCTCCCATGGATCTTTGAGCATCATCGTAGAGTCTCCTCCGCTTTTGTGATTCGAGGCATTGGAGGAGTTGCTCCAATTCCCTTACAAACTCAATGGCTCCTCCAATAATGGAAGCTTGATCACCCTGTCATGAATTGGTACAAAACCAAATTAATCTTCCCTAAATTTCATTTTTCGGCTACAAACATTATATATTTATATATATTCCATGTGTAGATTTTCTGATATATATATCTGATTAATTTTATATTGGGATAAGCATACATCAATTGGCAAAAAAACCAATCTAGCTAAATTTCACATTTGCTTCCTATATGACGTGTGTGTGTGTGTGTGTGTATAGATGCAGTTGTGTAGATTTATGGATAGATATAGATGTGCATATGATGCATTTGTTTGGTGACAAAGCACATATCAATTGGCACAAAACCAATACTCTAAGCTAAATCTATATATGCATTTGCATGTATATATAGATGCATGAAGTGTGTAGATTCATTAATATAGATCATATGTGTGTGTGTGAAGTGTGGCTTTTTTTTTTTATGAAGCACATATTGATCAATTTGATACCCTTTGGACGTATGAGCCTGGCATGAGGGACCTCAGAACACGAAGATGCTCATTCATTTGCTTCCTTCGATTCCTTTCAACCGCGATGTGAGTCATCCTTTGGCTCTCCACTTCCTCAGTTGTTTTCATACTTCTCGGCCTCTTTCTCTTATTTTTGGCTTCTCCTTGTACAAGGTTCTTTTGAAGGCGGTTTTCGCCAAGAATATTCCGAAGTTGCACCGAGGTACTCTCTGAAGTACCCCTAGCTTCCTCATCTTCTCTTTCACCTTCTTCTTCTTCTTCTTCCACACTTAGTACTCCTTTAAACCTATCTTCTCCAATCATCAGAGACTGATCATCATCATCCTGTGACCTATCATTCAAAACCGGAAACTTCAAGAAGTAAACCGGATCGATCCCAGCTTCTTCATCTGCAACTTTGGGTTGATTTAAGGCCAACTTTGGTCCAAAATCCGCGAATTGATTCACGTCTGCAAAGCTCAACTTATCGAGAGGAGTGACAATCGAGCTACCAAATCGAGAAGATATATGTTGTTGCTGAGGATCATTGAGCATGTAATCAACAATTTGATGATTTTTAAGGCCTGATGTTTCTCCAATCTGTGGCTTCATGAGCTGTTGATGATGATGATGATGATGATCTAGGGCATAGTCAAGACCCTGAAAGCTTCCCGGCAAGACGGTCTGCAATAACTCAGGTTCAGAAAAATACAACATGGTGATGAAAAGATTTATCAACAAGAACATACAAACAATGGAAATGATGGGTTTCAAGCTATGTATACCGAGAAGTTATCTTCTTTCTCCATTACTATATACACAGTAGGTTTTGTGTAATAACCCCAAGTGAGCTCAATTCATGTAAAGACAATCCCTAGTGAAATTTACATCTTGGGTCCACCTCCTGAAACAATGATAAACAGCAAATAATTTCATATGCAGTAAGTCCAAAATATAAAATTACAAATTGTTAATAAAAAATATAAAAATTAAACTTTTTTAAAAATACATTATAGTGGTTACCACCTAATCAATAGTCCGGTTAGTATGATCTCTTCTCTTTAAAAAAGGGATTGAGTGTGGAACCCTACTAAAAATATGTTGTGAGTTTTAACTTTCGATGAAAAAGATTTAGTTACCCCAAACAATTAGGGTTAGTAAATCTATATATAATAGTATGGACAAGCATGTACGAGTGTGTATATAAAAAAAACCTGATAGGAGAGAGAAGAAAAAGAGAAAAGAACAGTACTGAACATGAAATGGGCTTTTCATGTATAAAAAACAAAAGCATAGGTTACAACCATAGAAGTTGATGATTTGATTGGCAAACATTAGGATGGGGGTGGTGAGATTATCTCTATATATTGGGCCAGGTTGCCTGTTAGAAAGGGTTGACTTGATTGTGTGTGTGTGTGTGTGTGTGTGTGAGAGAGAGAGAGAGAGAGAGAGAGAGAGGAGCCTGGTGGATTAATTTCCACCTCACATGTAAATTCACTTTCACCACCTCTTCTTAATGTGAATCACAGGACAACAACGCTCTTTCTACCTTTACCACCTTTGCTTTTCATGACCCTTATTAATTTAAACGCTCAAGATTGAGATTTGAACTTTGAATGTTGAAAAAAATAAAATAAAAAAGATAACATATGTATGATATTCTAGACCTTCAATCGTGTCCACATGCAGTTAATCAACCCGCTGCAGTATATCAGTTCACGGGTAGTCACAGCTTAGCTATATATCAATCATATTACTTTAAATCATTTAATTTCAATATTATTCTTTTCATAATTTTTTATACTCTTACATATCAACCCTCGAATTTTATTTGAAATCGTATAATCCATCACTAAATTTATTTTGATATAGTTAATCTATGTAATGAAACGCACCAATTATATATATATATATATATATATATATATATATATATATATATAATTGGGGTGTCAAGAACTATGCTCGGATTAATACATGAGACTGTGCATGGTGTCCCAAATAATAACTAGACCAAAAATTTGACTGTTATTCTCAAATATATATATATATATATATATAGTCTAATGGAGTCGGTCAAATTTTTTAAGTTTCTAATATAAATATTTTTTTTCAATCGGTAAAAATCATTGTAAAATCACACTATAATAAAAGACAAAATTTTTAAGTTTCCAATATAAATTTTTTTTTTTTCAATTGGTAAAAATCATTGTAAAATCACACTATAATAAAAGACAAAAGTGAATGCGAAATGCGATCAATAATGGACTAGTGATTTACACAACATTTGGGTGTGAAATCTCAGTGAATGGAGCCAAAAATAAGACAATTATTTTGACTATTAGATATTTAGACAGTGATAGTACGTTGATAAGAGTCCTTTTTGTTAGCGTGCCTGAATGGTCAAATTTCTTGTGAAATTAGCCAGCCTCTAAAAGGTGTCCACCGAAATAATTTAGAGTTTTTCTTCTGTTTTTTTTTTTAAATGTACGAGTCCTTATTGTTAGTGTCTCTGTAGACATTAAATTTCTAGTGAAATTAGGCAACGTATAAAACGTGTCTATGGAAATGCTATAGAATTTTTCTTTTCTTTTTCTATTTTACAAGTAAAACACACAGTACTTTGTATCTTGGGGTAATATCTATATCTAAGTATTTTATATGATTTTGCTACCTTAATTGAGATGAACATAACCGATTGGTTCAATTGTTTTTATCCAGAGAAGTTGGTCCGATTGTGAATCAGATGTTAGTGTTACATGGTGAATTTTGGTGTGCGTTTTTGTTTTGGTACTTTTATTTTTGTCAGGTACTGTAGCGCAATGAATAAGGGAAAAAAAAAGTATTTTGTAAAAATTATTTTGTTTTTCACAGTGTCAAAACGTTTCGTGAATAGCGCGCAAAAATTGACACACTAATTTGATATTTTTTTTATGTTTCCACATGGTAAAGTTTAGTAGTGTATGAACAATAATTTTTTAAACATTTATATATATTTTTAATGATATTTTTAAACTATTCATCTCAGAGCAAAACGTACCAAACAGGCCCAATTATTAACCAATCTTGATTACATAGGATGAGGAACGAAGTCCATCAACAATGGTCAGTTAGGGGTCTTGGGTTGGGTTTTGATTTGGGCTGCTCTTTGGCTTGTCTGGCCTTCGGGCTTTTTTTGGGGCTCTACCCCTCCTTTGTAATTGCTTTTTCCAAAAAATAAATAAATAAATAAAGAAGAAGAAGAAAGAAGAAAAAAATTTGGTAATGGAAAAATGAGTATAAATGAGTTAACCCGAGTAATGTTTTAAGCTTTTGGGTTGAAACACCTGACCCGTTACACCAACCAAAAGATATGGTACTGATCTTGCATTCTCAGAAATGGGATCTACTCAACTCGACCAGGATATTTTGTTAATTACTTTTATGTTTTGGTTATAGTTCCGGGATAATAACTAGAGGTGACAAATGTGACATGCCAAAAAAATGTAGTTCATTTTTAAGAAAACCATGAAAGTTGCATACAAAGATTGTCATTCTAAAGGAATTGGAAAGATGACCCCATTGAAGATGTCTCAAGGCATGAGCTCCAGTTTAACCTATAAAAGTATTCATATAACTATTTTGAGGGCATTGAACAACAGTTACTAGGCATCACTAACATTACATTACTCTTCTGTCATCGTAGTAGACCCTAATAGCATGGAAACAAACCATAGACGAAACCCTGAATTTGAACACTTGTTCAGGAGTGCTGGCTGGGACATGGAACCGAACCGAACCGAATCACCCTGATTGGCAACCAATCTAACTCAAACCTAGCCGTACCCATATTTCACAAAGAAATGAGAAGTGAAAGATCTCAAAAACAAAAATATTGAACTCGGAACATTGACCAATTTCAGATGAAAACTAGACAAGTTCATTTCCTTTCTTAAATTTAAATTGGAAGCTGTTACAAAGCATGTTTGTCCTATCAAGTCGCCGGAATTCGATGACAGAAACTCATTACAGGCACTATCCTCCCCACTTCAAAACGTATAACGTCTGGGGCAATACAAATACGACAGACTGATAACAATCAAGAAGAAAATAGCGACATCATAAATGCCCGTATAAATTACCTGAGGCACGCCATTACCACAGAGGATAACCATAGAGTGATTTGCTCGGACCAATCTTTTCTTCTCTAAAAATAAAGCACCTCATTTTTCCCAGGTAAATACCATCAAAGATTGCAACGCAGTATTTGAATATAACCAGAATCATGTTGCGTATTCAAATGGCGGGGGAGGCTGAGGTTCCTCATCGACAGCCATAGCCGCAGCTGAGCCCTGTTGTCCAGTTGCTGAGCCACCGACATTGGATGCTGTTGATGAGGGTGAATCAGTGAGAGACAGCACCTCAGGTTCAGTTGGCCGTAGATCTTTCAAGAGCACAAATCCCGAAGATGCTGACTTCACTGGCACATATCTGCTTTCTTCCAGAAATTTAATGAATTTCTCCTGAGCAGGGACCACCCTCGCTGGGTTGGTCAAAATTTCAAAAGATGGCTCTATCTCTGTCCTCTTCTCCACTGGATTATCAACCTGCAAAACAAGAAAATGCAACTAAATCTCATTTGTAGATCTAGGCAACTGCAGAAATGCACAATGACTTGAGAATAGCTTTAGATGCTTTCTTTTCCCAGAGAAACTACGTTGACCAACAACGTCCTGATGTTGATATCAGACATTTATGCATGTATAAAAGAAAAGACGATTCCAAATCATTGCACACTCTCAGATCTACAATAATTATTAAGAGAATAGGCAATTATAGGAAACAAAAATGACATGAAATGAGAGAGAGAGAGATGTTTTGTCATGAATGCATACAAATTTTCTTTTTTACATCAAAAACCAAAATTTTTGACTTTATTAAAATCGAGGACACAGTTTAGGCATACTTGCAGCAAAAGGGACACATCTAAGGGATATTTACCTGCATAGAGTCCCCATCCTTGTCAGCCGACGATTTCCCTTTCTCCTCATTTGAGACTACAGAAGAAGACTCCGTCTTGGATGCCTTTTCGGTATTAGCCTTCTGATCTGCTGCCTCTTTCTTACTAGCCCTAGCTTTGGCCCTTGCATAAGTTGATAAAACTGCAGTGGGAAGTTTCACAGTCGATGCACTGGTGGGTACAGTAGTTGGCCGAGGGTATTCAAACAGTGATGGCTTTGCATGTGACAAGAATTCAAATTTCGGAACTTTCAAATCATAGTTCAGTCCAATAAAAGCTGTTGGCGAGAACGACAAGCTAATGAAATAGATAAGGGGATACCAATACCAAAACTGGCTGAAAACAGCAAGACCAACAATTGCAGTGATCTTATCATGTTTTGTCTTAGAAAGCAGTTTAATGGTCACATTCCTTCCACCAGCATCAAGGATTCCAGAAGCCAAAATTGCTCCCATCTTGCTCATGGTGTCTTCATGCTTATCCAAGATTATTTTTTCCAACTGTCTCCTGAAAATAGAAGAAGACAATATTATAAGCATAAATAAATAAATAAAATTAAAGATGACAAAAAATGAAATATACTAATAAAATATTTCATAAAGAGCAAGGTACCTAAATGCTCCAACACGAGAATCACTAGCTTCACTGATTTGGACCATGACCATAGCCATTGCAATGAGAGCACCTTGACGAACAAAATCAACTACATCTGATGTCAGAGGCTCTAACAAAGATATGGCTTCGCTCAGACCAGTACCCGCACAGGAAATGCCTACTGCCATAGCCGCACCATATCGAACATGGGGATTGTAAGATTCAGATAGAAGGGAAACAATCCGAGGGGTCTGCAGTCCAAGGGCAGTGAGATCAATGGCAATTTATCAGAGCCTTAGAAATAATGAAAAGATGGAGAAAGAGGTAACTAGCAAATCTATACAGTTAGGAGCTCATAAGAAAAAATATATACATATAGTGGAAGTAAAAGCACCAACCTGTGACGGTTCAGAATACAGGACGAACCCAAGGGCTAGAACAGCAGTTCGCCTGACATCGTCACTCACATCTGATACAGCAAAGTGCAGCAGCTGGCGAATGGCCTTGTTGTTTGCTGTTCCACTGTATGCCAATGCCAACGCATACATTCCACCGTAACGTAATATGGGGTCTTGATCCCGAGTCATCTGCTCGATTAGTGTGTCTGCTTCTTCTTCCCTTCCGTAGACTGTGAGTGCTATCCCCAATGCCAAACCTCTGCAACAAGTAGTAGCCAAATAAACATCAAGAAAGACCACAATAACTGAAGCATTAGTTCCACACCTAGATCAAAGGACCCAACTTTACCTAATAATCTTCTCATGCTGCGTCTCGTGTGCATACACAAGCATTTCACTTGCTTTCTCACTTGCAGTTCCAACCATCAGCAAGCCCAAACTGATACCAGCAGCTTCACCAGCAACAGCGCTGTCAGTATAAAGCACATTCTTTATGTCATCATAAATGTCTTCATCAGCAGTTCCCAGAGCTGCTAAACCAAGACCTAAACATGCACCATGCTGAATAACCTGCACCAATCAAAGATAAAGATATTTAATCTGATAATGGTGGAAATTCATGAAACATAAAGGTGTTGTTTGATCATAGAGAGCAAGCACCTCAACATTGGTATTACGTAGGCTATCACGAAGAAACTGTTTTATGCCCTCGCCGTGGTTTGCATGTATCAGACCCAGAGCATAGAGAGCACCACCTTCTGAGTATGGACTGCCACCACCACCAGCACCACTCTGTGGCAAGTAAGGGGCCATCAAAGATCTTCCCTGCTGCAGATGCCCTCTATGTATAACACCTAACCCCGCTGTCGCACTAAATTTTGCCCAATTTGTGGCCCTACTCAGCCAGTCCTAAAATTCAAACAAACGCCAAAACATTAACAAAGTGAATAAATCACCATGCCACATGCCACAAAGAAAGGTTACTACAAGAATGGAACTGCAAAAATGATTTACCAGATTCTCCCTGAGAAATGTATCCACTGTTGTTCCAGCATGCATAATAGCATTAGCATAAATTGTTGCACTATGGCAAACACTATTTCTCATCTCAACAGACTGCTTTATTGTCTTAAGTATAAGAAGATCCGATCTACACACAAACTTGCAACCATCAGTATAACCATTTTCAAAGCATTAAAAAAAAAAAAAAAAAAAAAAAAAAAAAAAAAAAAAAAAAAAAACACACTAACAATTGAATTAGAGTAAAAATATAAGCAAATATTTATTTAAATACTGATTTCAAATTAAGAAATTGAAAATAAATCAGTTGCCTCACTTGTTATGACTATATAAGAATTGTAGAGTTAACTGAATTGAAGTCTCTCCAGACAAAATTCCTTTTAGCTTCGTCAACCTCTCCACATAGGTTACTTCATCTGGATCCACTTCAACCACATTCGTGCTTAAAGCTTGAGTTCCATCTGTCATTTGGACATCCTCTGATTCAGTTGCATTTGTATTTTGATCAGTATCTGGTGCAGCAGATTCTGACTGCACCGTTTCTGAATGTTGAGACTTGGGACTAGAAAGCCGATCTCTCACACTCAATAAAAAGGCTTGGTGCTCATTCTCTACAAGATCAAAAGATATTTGAAACGCCAGTAGAGCGTCTTCCTTATTTTTTGACCTCAGAAGCTTTTCCAAAATGCTCACAACACCTTCAGGTTCATCCAAGAACATAAGGCACTGACAAATGCTTAAATAATCAGGAGACTGAAACTCTTGATATACTTTAACAAGAAGACGGAGCACCTGTTGACAGTTGGCAGACAATCAATATACATAGTAGTATCCTACATACCACAAAATATATATATATATATAGTATCCTAAATCAATATCATTCTTCCAAAGACACCATGACACATTTATTTATTTCCTTTTTCGTCCCAGAAATGGTCAACCAAAACAAGTCGTAAAGCAATGAAACAATGATGAAGACATATATCTTAAATCTATACTACTATGTAAATATGTAGAATTTTTATGTTTTCTATACATTATTTAAATTTTTTGTATCATTAATATTATTAACAATAACGAAAATGTGTCTATTTCAAATAGATACAAATTTTCATAAATGTATTTTAAATAGACACAAACTTTTTTGAAAATGTATCTATGTAGAAAAAGACACAATTGCGTCTGTCTTTTCAAACTTATAAATACAAATGACTTCTCCATCAAAGTGTAGGTACAAATAACTGTTTTATTTGTTCTAAAACTCTTTTACCCTCTCCCTGAGCAAGTATTTTTCTAATATTTCAGAAACTCTCTCTCCTTCATTTAAAATCAATATCATTAATCTATGTATGTATCTAGATGTTTATATGAATATATTATATATACATACATAATTTGACAACTCATCTCCTATTCTAATGCCCACTCTTTCAGTAGAACATTCCTATATGTTTTGCTTTACAAATATAGTCAACTTCAAATAAATATTACGCATACATTTACTTTGATTAATCTTACATTTACAATTTTTTTCTATGCCAAAAGAAAATCGAATGCGATGTGAAGGTCTACAAATTACGTGTTTCCAAAAAGTATTGGCAATTCTGGACATAGCCAAAGGTCTGTCAAATACATATAATGGAGTGTCAACGTGCCACACAGAAAAGGCTCCTGCTTAAAAGTTCATGTGCCTATTAGCTGCATAGCTACAGCAAATGCTTTTATATTCGACTAAATGCACATTTTGATACATACACACGTTGTAATCTGCATATGCAGAGTCTAAACATGCTGTAATCATGCACAGTCTAAACATGCTGTAATCATGCACAGTCTAAACATGCTACAAGCTAGCAACATGTTACAAAAAATGAACTAACCATATCAAGCAAAACATTTATGATATTATTGGGCTATGACTTACGACATGAAATGTTAAAACAAAAGGATATAGAACCATAGGTCCATTACCAAGACATGGTAATGCTCTGCATTACACAAGGATGATAATTTTGTTACCTCACGTCGATATTCTCTACGATTTACGTATGAATGAGAGATGTTAATGCAATATGATAGATTTGCATGAACATTATCACTCCTTGTAATTGCTTCCTCAAGCTTGTCCAACCTTCGGCATTCAAGTGCTATTCCTATAGCCTGTTGATATCTTCCATCCATTATACACCTACAAGGCAAACGAAAAAGGAAATGGTAAGACAGAGAAATGTGGAATTACAATAAAAGAGAAGTAGACATGTACATACTTATCCAACAGTCTTTCAACAATGGCCTCCAACCTAGGATCAACCTTTGCTGCTTCATCAGTTGACTCTGCTGCCTTACACTTAAGGCTTGCATATTCATCTATAGCGTTGCCTGAATAAAGAAACAATGGACAAAATAATTAATCTGCAAAGTGTCTATGCATCCACACATTTTTCTACTTATTGCAATTTGTTAAAGGATGACAATGAAGCATAACATGATGACAAAATTAAAATAAACATATATCAAGAGTTGAACCTGGTTTTAAACTTTCTTTAACTCCTATTTACAAATAATTGCTTTAAGGAAAACCAATATTAAACCCCATGCTAAACATTAAATCCTTGAATTAACACAGTTTTTATGGGGGCAAAGGAGGGAAGGTGAAATTCTTACCAAGAAGTGTATGAACATAATCTGAGTCCTCTGAAACATCAAATAGAGGACCAGCTCCGAGTGCATATGACAATGAGTCATTAAGTTCACCCAAATAATAGAAAACCTGTGGATAAAACAGAGTACTTCATGTCAATAAAAGACAAACGTTTTTTGAATAAAATATCTTAAGCATCATACTCTAGGGCACTACCCAGGTAATAGTACAGCACTATAAGCATGCAGTTTTCATAGCGTGCAAACAATCGGCATGTTAAGTACTCTGTGGTACCACTACCAGTAACAAATAAGAGTATCGATATTTACCGGATGAAGATTTGAGAAAAATACTAAGATAGCAGGAATCCGTACAACTACATGAAAGGAAATGCAGGAGCAGATAGGAAGGTTGATTTTAGGCTCTCATAACCAATGAGTCACCCAGTCACCCTCAACAGGAGACATCAGACAGTCCCCAAGAGATTTGCAGCAGATTCTCCATAATAAAGGATAGCAACCCTGTTTACTTATACCTTTTTATTTCTTTTTTGGGGTGGAGATTGGGAGAGTAACCCCACACTTAAACAAATACATATATAAGTTTGTAGACAAATATGCGTATGTATACCTATATATAAACATGTTTGCACATGTGTGCATACTTATGTAGCGTGCATGTATGTGTGCATGGAAGTGTCAAATAAAAAAATATTCAAAAGCTTCTGCAACTTTCTTCCCCATCCCAACAACAGAATGTAGCAATACTTGTACTAGAAAATGAAATGATATCAAGAACCTTTGAAAAGTGACATCAACCGCAAAACCCGTAATCAGCTGCTCCTTAACCTAGCATGCATCCTTGGTTACACCCAAGGTCTCAAGTCGCAATCGTAATGCCCAGTGGGGTGTATAACAGGATTGTGTAACAGTCCACGGTCATGAATTTTTTTCAATATTAAAAAACTTGTTCAAAATGAACCAATACATAAATTTTACCTCCAGAATCCAATAAAACCATATTTTTTATGAATTTTATTGAAAAGGTGATTTTAGATGAGTAGTGCCTTTAATTAAAATTCTAAGGCACTGTCATTAGTATAAGCATACTAATTTGTACTCTGCACTAAATTTATGGCCAAAAATGCATACTCAAACAAAAATCATCATGTCATACTTACAAAAATCATATATACCAATAAATTAGAAGTTGAAAATGAATATACTGTAGAGTAATATATGAGCAATATCAGGAATTTATTTATTTCTGAATTTTTGTAATTTTCTAGAATTGATTTTTAACTCAATCGTTTCATTTTTTTATCAAAAACAATCTCAAATGTAGTAATATTTATGCTCTACTTATTTGCTTGTTTCTGATTTTTTTTAATGATTTTCAATACTTATCGATGAACTTTATTAATTGTTTTTATTTGTTAAGCCTCTCTCTCTCTCTCTCTATCTCTCTCTCTCTCTATATATATATATATACACAAATATAAGAGTAATATGAACCATATTTATATTATAGACATATACGGCTGTAAATTTCAGTCCAGCTGATATTTCGCCTTGTCTCAGTCTCCACCCTAGCGGAGTCCAAGACGACTCAGCTGAGATTTAAAAGTATGGCTATTCCACCACCATAGTTCTCCAAATTGACCTAGTCTTAGCAAGTCGACCAAGTCCAAGTCTGTTACTCACAGATAAATCAGTGAGACATGAGACGCAGCCGAATCTTTAGGGAATTAGCCGAGTATCTAGATAATCAACTGTATTTGAACATCTGCTAGTGTGCAAGGTAGATAAAAGTTAACACCTTCAATAATTGATTCCGTTACATTACACCCGATACAGTCCTACATAATTTACACCAGCGTCTTCAAACCATGGCCACCACAAGTTATGACGGCTGACTTTGTGAACTTTTAGTACTAACATGGTAAACCCAATAAAAACTCCATTAGTGAAGCATCTGGCTGAGCCATAAAAGATTGTATGTATTTTCTAATTACACAGCAGAAAACATTCCGAATATTGCAAAGGCAATGTTTTCTCTGTAGCTTTAATCATAATTTTATTTTTTGAAATATTTTCATTTTCCAACAAAACACACAAGAAGTCATTGAAACTCAAACTTACTGCTTCATAACACTAAAAGTATTGTAATATTTTGAGTGAAGTATTTTTTTAATTCATATGAATAGATCCGGGATACAGATGAGAGAGAATTTCTCTCTCTCTCTCTCTCTCTCTCTCAAAACTAATTCATGGTGATTTTTGGAACTTTTTTCAATCCTAAATAGAATTTTTTTACTTTTTGAATCTTTTTCAGAAAAGAGGGACTATTTTTTCAGATCTGGTTTCTGGGAGTGTTAGGGCTGGGTGCATCTAGCCCTAGTAGTTCCCTTAAAAAAATTTGTTGCATGTCAATTGCATTTCAAAAGTTTTATGCCACCACACCTATGGTGTGGCTTGTAATGTGAGCCTACTGTTTCGACTCCTTTTAATTTGTTCCAACTGAAATCTTTCACTTCTATCATGTTTGTGAAGACACTATCAGCCAGTCAACAAGAGAGAGGCCTTTTATTGCCACCATTGAGAAGGCGTCTTAGACCATGTGCTCTCTTTATTTATTTTATTTCTAAGATCATGTGGCTGGGGTTATGTACCAGCCACATTTGGGTTCGAAATGTTTATAAGTTTCCAAATATTAATTCCTTTCCCTACATCTTGCTGGCAACTAAGACAAGCATAAAAAAAACAATTGCAGAAAACTATCATTCAATTGGTAACAGACACAAGCAATCATATGAGATAAGAAAGATGGAAGCACCAATTAACAGAAAGGAGGAAGTTAGAAGCAGACCTTTGAGACAAGCAAAGCAGCCAGTTGTCTTTGGTCAAATTCTTCATCTTCATATAAGCTCTCTCTGGATAAAGAAACATTACAAGCATTAATCTTCAAAGAACGAATTTAACACAAATATTAAACTGAAAGATAAACCCTAAAAATAAAAATAAAAACTAAGTTTCCTAATACGCAAGCCCAAGTAACCAAGCAATATCAGAATTTCAATAAAAATTAAACACCAGCATGCTGCGAGCTTACCACTTAATTAGTCAAATAAAAATCAATAAAATTGCAACAGAATAACCAAGTGTTCTTAACATGGGTAAACTAAAGAAAAGTGTGTGTGTGTGTGTGTATATATATATATATATGAATCTTAATTAAAAAGCTGGCAATAATAAAATGCATGATCAACAAGCAAACAACATGACAAGACCAGAGTTGAGGATCATAAAAGAAATAAAAGGGCCCCCTTACAAATGTGAGTCATATGTTGGCAATTTCCTAGTCAACTTGGTTGTAATGTGTGAAAGTATCATGAGTTATTTGATTACAACCGTTGAAGATATTGGACATAAAGATTCACAAAGAACACAGGTGCATAATTTGTATGACTCAATCACATATCTAGGGTAAAGGTAAATAGACAGTAAAAGGCCTAACTTGACCTAGATTGGATATTTGAATCTTGAGATGGCTCAAAATTAAAGAATAAGCTTTGAAACCGTGAGTGCGCAGGCTCTTCCTTTCCACGGAAGGCCATGTGGCACACAAAGGCACCCCTGAAGATGGCTTTTTCTGCTTGGGTTGTGGCTTTGAGCTAGATTCTTTCGATGGACAACCTAAGGAAGAGGGGACAAATTCTAGTGAATCGACGCTACATGTGGAAGAGGGACAAGGAGCCAATGGATCATCTCCTTCTTCATTGCCCAGTGGCTTGATATTGTTGGGATTTGATCCTTGGCCTTTCAGCAATGATTGCTCTCGAGGTTTAAAGAGGTTGCCTAGCGAGAGCTCAGGCTCAAGATGCTTGGAGAGTTGTGCCCTTGTGCTTTTGGTAGTCTTTGTGGAAGGAAAGGAATAGGAGATCCTTCAAGTGAGAGGAAACTCCTATTAGTGTGCTTAAGTTCTCTATCATTCATACTTTATTTTTTTGGCTTTGGGGGAGAAAGTGTAAATATGTTAGGGGAGTTAGTGTATTTTGTGGATACGTAGAGTGATTAAGGGCCCTATTTTGCCCTTGTTATACAGTTAGAACCTACGTTGGTGTGTAACAATGCACAAACTAACACTAAATTTGTCGTGAATTATATAGATTTAATCAAAATTTCTGAACATGATATAATAAGATGATTGCTTAAGTTTAGTAAACCACCCGGACGAGTTATTGGTCCATATCAAATGGGTAAACAAGTATAGCATAAGAAACTCCGAACAATTTATACTTCTAAACCACTAGATTTAGTACACATGAATTAATGGGCAAGTGCAAGTATATAGTATAAGTGGTAAGAGATATATTTTGGTTATGGTTACATGGACAACCTTTTAAGAGTAAAATCAGATGCCCATAATTTACCATCATCTTCCCATCTTTTCCCTCTTAAGAAAATCAACAATAATAGCAAGTGTAGTTCACGAGTAAAAAGATCAAACTTTTGCAAATTAGATTACCCATTACTTGTAACCCAATTCAGCTTGATACTTAGCTTAATTGAATTGAATTTCTCAGTTTTTGAGAACCCAAAACAACATTAATGAACCAAAGCAAAGAACTTTTCCTCTACTTGCGCTAAATTCTCTCAGCAACCAACCAAACGGAGGGTTTTCAAGCGACGAACAGATCAAGAATAAGCAGAAATCAAAAGCCCTAATTCAAAAGAGAGAAAAGAAAACAAAGCAAACAAGAATAGAGACAGAAAGAGTGAAAGTTGAATACATGATTGGTACGCTCGTGGAGATCTCGGGCCAGAAGTAGTCAACGAAGGCATTGAGATTGGAGAGAGCGTGAAGCTTCAACACGGGATGGGTCTCGTTCAGCATCGCCAAGAGGCTTCCCGCCGAGCTCACCATCGCCGCCATCGCTGCCTACCACCACCAACACCGTCGACGATGGGTCGAATAATCTAGGATTCAGAAATCCTCTGCTTTACTGGAATTGGCAATTTTTGAAGTTTATTGAAGGCAAAACCGGAAACCAAACAATAAGAGAAGAGAGAGGGCGTGTTTTGTGTAAAGACGAGGTTTTTAAAAGGAGAATTTAGGACTAGCTGCTTTTTGTACTGAGGGTTTCTTGTGGATTCAGCAAAGAAAAAGAGCCCAAAGTATATGGCACCGTTTGTAACTTGGATTTGGATTTGGATTTGGATTTGGATTTGAAATTGGATTGAATAAGAGGGTTTGGATTTGGGCAATGCCCTGACTTAATTGATAGAGTGGCCGAGTCCCCACTTTTCGAATTTGAGATAAAAAATGAATATTCAAATAAAAAGGTTTGAATTTGGAGAAGAAATGGAAATTGAAATTGGATTGGATTTGAGATTGAAACCTCATTCCAATGTTTGGAATAGGAAAGGAAATTTTTTTTTTTTTTATAATATTATAACATCTTTGTTTTTATTAAAATAAATATTATAAGAATATAAAATTTATCATAAATGGTTAATTAAAAGGTGTAATTGGTATATTTGAACAATTCTTCAAATATAATTTTGTATGGTCATTTAAATTAAAAGGCATATAACCTAATTAACAATTATAATACTTAATTTTTAATTTCATAAAATAACACCTAGATGTACCATGTGACCATATCACAATGGCTACGATTATTTTATTTGATATAGGGATGGTAAAGAAACATGTTTAGTACTGGACACTCTTATTTTAATTCATTTTGCGATAAGAATTTGTGAACTTTTCTTATTTCCCTGCAACCCATTGAGATTGTCGCATAAATGGTGTTATTTTTTAGGCCATGGGGGAGGCTTCTATAAGTTATGAATTGCAATGCATCTTTGATTCAAAAAGTAGCAAGTCTAAATTAGAAATTGGACGCTCCAGGTATAGCAGTATTGGTAGAGATTCGTGAGGTAAATTCTTGAGATCTCGTTTTCGATCTGCACTACTGATTTAAATGGTGCGTGTGTTATGGGGCTGATGCACGTTTTTTAAAAAATAATAATAATAATAATAAATAAATAAATAAATAAAAATAAAGAAGAAGAAATTTGGATCGTCTTCCATTAGCCAATTTCAACCTTGTTATTCTTTTAACCCATAAAACACAATTACTCCTCTTACTCTATTTTGTTGGAGTTATGTGTCCTAAAAGTCGATTATTTATTTTTAATATTCGACATTTAGTTAATAAATGTGATTATTTAAATTAGATATTCATGCATATATTTATATAAGATATATCATAGTACTCAAATTACATTATAGGTGGCTTAAGTGTGTGAATGAGATTTACACACAGAAATTTGAGCTCACTAGTTTCTTGCACCTTGACATTGTTCGCAGTCGGTGATAAAAGTTGTATACTTTTATCTGTAAGATTGTAACACACTTGATCTTTATTGAGGTAGTTGACTCTAAGTCAGTGTGTTAATGTACTTAGAGTATATTGAGATGGATCACCATAAGATCACATCATACAAATTGATGTCATTATTTTGATGTGTTTCTTATCTACCAAATTCATTAGGCTCTAAATCATGAGGGGTTTAGTGAACTCAAGCTTCAGTATTGATCACTTTGACTTACCAATGTATGAGATCTTTTACTTTAATACCACAGTATCTTACATGGCTAATATTAAAACTATGGGAATACAAATGCTCAATATGAAATACACACTCTTTAGAAGAGTTAGAATATCCCCTTGTGTAATTAAATAAGTTTGATTATTGAAACATGGTTAGGGCGTTTTAGTAAAATGTTTATTAAATTATTATTTTATTATTTATTTAGAAAAATATTTTTTTTATAAAATTATTTAATTCAGTTATCATAAGAATTAAATTAGTTACTCAATGAATATAAGATATAAGTAAGCCTTAAGGTGGGGCGATTTATATTTTTTTAGGGCTACTTAAGGATATTCAGTAATAGAAAGACTTATATGTAATTATTTAGTAGAACAGTGCCTTGTCGTAATTTACAAATCTTGAAGTGCAATTATAATATTATCATAATGCTTATTGCAATTAGTTGGATAAGAATCCTTTTGACATTATATCTCCCAGGACTGGGTATTCTATTATTGACGCAAAAAGTTACAAAATAGAGAATAGTCGGAGCGAGAGATAGAGACTTTCACTGGTGTTCAAAGCTAGAAGATAAGTGAGTTGATGTTCTGAACTGTTCTTAATTTATTAAAAATATCACATAGTGAGATCTGAAGAAAATTTTCAACTCCCTTATTTTCAAAACGTTTTGTCTTTAATTAATATCAGAGTTACCTACGCCATTCTTTTTAAATTATGATAATGATTTGAATGATTTATTGATATATTATTCATGAGTTGTACCTATTTATTTCATTAATATATTGCTTGATCATTTAATGATTAGACGGATCTAGCATGAACACTGGTTTACCAGATATTTCTATTGGTATCATAGATGGGTTTCTCAATTATTCTGTGAATAGGTTTAGAATATGCTGAGATTGTCCAAGTCATTGTTTTATCATGGTAGTGATGAGCACGTGTCCATGTGATGGGTGTTTAGAAAAAATATATAATCACTTAAACTCCGTTTGTTTGGATATAAAATATTTTATAAAAAATATTTTTTAATTTTTTGGTATTTGATAGTCGTAAAATATTTACAAAAAAAATATATATTAAAATTTTACAAAAATAATTTATCCATCAATTCTTGATAAGCTATTTTATACATCTCGTCCAAAAGATTCGACCTCAACTTCGACTTCAACCTTTGCCAAATATCGAAAAGTACAAATAAAAAAAATATTTTACCTAAAAAATGAAAATATTTTTTAAAAAAAATATTTTACTTCGAAACAAACGGAGCCTTAGTGTATTTGGTAACAACGGTTACTTTAAGTTTTTGCTTTGACTCGAAATAGATGTAATGTTTTAAATTTGAAGTTGATTCAATATTAATTGAAAGTCTATTTGATAACGTATATTTGTTGTAAGATTTTTGAAAACAAAACTATGGAAACATATTTAATAAAAAGGTGTTGCAAAATTTAAGGGTTGGTTTTCTCTAGCCGAATATGATTTATATATTTTATCTTATTTAGAATTTTTGTAAACCCTACTAAATTGGATATAGGATAAAACATTGTACTACATTCTCTAAATCTAGGGTTGAAATTTTTGAAGAGTTTAAGAAAAGATTCAGACGAGATAAAAATCGAGACTTTCAATTTAGAACTTTGAAAGCACAAACGATCATGAGATAGTTTCCAACCGGCCATGAGATGAGATTAGCACTATGTATGGTGCAACATGATTTTTATTTGCGTGCTTATTTTCATGTGATGTTTCATTCATGAATTGTCCTAGTTATGTGTCTATTAATTTTAAACTAAATAAAATTGGAATTACTTATTTGAGCGATTTTGAAAAAAATTGTAATTTTTTGAAAATTTATATTTTTAATTTTTAATTAAATTTTGTAAAGAATGCAGAATTATCCCATAATTAAGTGTTGTCTATGTCCTAAGATTTGCTCTTTTAATATTAAACCAAGGTAGTGTATGCATTACATAATCTTGTTATCAGGTAATGTCAAAATCAATGTTGTGTCAGTGATTAAAAGCACTTTTATTTGTAAGATTGTAAGAGAGGTTTGTCTCGACTATTGGATAGTTGAATCTAAGTCACCTAGTTTGTTTGGAGTATACAAAACTGGATTATCATGAGATTACACCATATAAATTACTTCTTATTATTTTTGTGTACTTCTCATTTACTATTCATTATACTCTAAATGCTGAGGGATTTAATGGACTCAAATTTTAGTATTAGACACTTTAACTTACCAATGTGTGAGATTTTAAGGATAATACCGCGGTATGTGTGGTGTGTGTGTGTATATATATATATATATAAACTACTTTTCTCCGCTGCCGCTAGCACCAGCTTTTATTTTCAGTCAGGATAAAACCTTAACTAGGAAGTGAATCGATGGGCCACAAGCCATGAATGGAAACTAGGCCAATTTTGGCAAGAAACAAGCCTAATAGCTGGGCCACCACTTAGAGGTTCAAACAAGCCCAATTGCAGGCCCATTGCTTGTTGATCAGAGACATTCTCTGAGAGAGAAATCTGGGGGGATGTATTGGTTAATTAATACTAATAATTTAATTCTTATTTTTAATAATCAATTTTGAGCATGTAATAATCACTAATAAAGCTACATAAAATAAATATAGACCTGCAATTGGGCTGCATAAAATAAAGAAATATTCCGTTCGTATCCAGCAATGATACGAACCGGATACTTCTAAGATATGACCGATAATTTTGTAATTATTTTTTTTGAAATTATGAAATTTAATACAATTTAAAATTTATTATGTATTAATTAAAAAAATAATATAAAATTTAAGAAATATCTAGTTTTGCAAATGTCGTGTGTCGTGCCTCGGTGGACTTTAGAGTGTCAAGTTTCGACTCTTTATGTCTACTAATCTAACTTCTAACCCTTTTTGACTTGTAATATATATATATATATATAATTTTAAGCTCCAAATTAGTGATTTCATTCATAATTATATAATAAAATAACCAAAAAAAATTTATATATATATAAATTATACTCCCTCCATCTCTAAATAAGTGTCTATCTTTTCATTTTTATCGGTCTCAAAATAAGTCACATTTAAATGTCAATGTATTATTATTATTATTATTATTTTTAGTAATATTATCAATGTTCTTGCATTGAACATATAAAAAGTAAACCATCACATCGCTGTAGACCCACTAAAGATAAATTTGATAATTCTTTCACTATTAATACAACAATAATAAAAAAATTATTCTCTTACAAAATTAGATTTTAAAAAAAGAACAATTATTTTGGGACGAAATGAATACTCTATTAGTTTCAAATTAAATGTCCACCTTTCTATTTTTGGCTGTCTCAAAATAAATGTCCCATTTGAAAAGTTAAAGTACTATTATTTGTAACATTATTAATTTAATCTTCTTACATTAAACTTATACAAAATAAATCATCAAATTTTATGAATCCACTTTAGTAATTCATTCACTATCAATACAATAAAAA